CCCCAGCCAGGGCCGTGTTCCCCCAGCCTAGGGTGCGCTGCCTGCAGTGCGCCCACGGGGCACACCCCACCCTACTTCCTCAGGAGAGGGGAGGGAATCTAGGGCCTGCAGTGCTAAGGCAGAAGATGCAGGCTCTGTCCTCACGCAGCCTAGAATGAGGGTCAGCTGCTGCCTCCTGCCATGCCCCCAGCTCTGCTAAAAGGATTTGCCATCTTAAGTAAAGTTCAGGCTGTGGATCAAAGACAACCCCTTTCAGACCAGCAGAACACACCTAGGCTACGTCTAGCCTGGCATGATTTTCCACCAGTGCTTTTAACGGAAAAGCTTTCCGTTAAAAGCATTTGCGGAAAAGAGCGTCTAGATTGGCACGGATGCTGAAAAGTGTCCGTGCCAATCTAGACGCGCTTTTGCGCAAAAAAGCCCCGATCGCCATTTTCACGATCGGGGCTTTTTTACGCAAAACAAATCTGGGCTGTCTACACTGACCCTTTTGCGCAAAAGCTTTCGCCTGAACGGGAGCAGCATAGTATTTCCGCAAGGAGCGCTGATTTCAGACAGTAGGAAGTCAGTGCTCTTGCGGAAATTCAAGCAGCCAATGTAGACAGCTGGCAATGTAGCAGCTGCTTTTGTGGAAAAACTTGCCAGTCTAGACACAGCCCTAGAGCACTTGGACAGCCACCCAGTTGATTGGCAGAGTGCCCACAGCTGACCACAGTCAGCAGCATGTGTTTCTGTTGGTGGTACACATCTGCATATGTCTTGGTGCACAGGACAAAATTTATTCCACCATAGATGGGAAATCTTTACGGGAACATTGCTGGACACCAGGCTTCAATTAAAAGCAAGGAATGCTTCTGCTTGATTTTCATTTTTAGGCCTCATCTGCATACATATTTGTACCAGAACAACTATTTCGGTGAGGGCTGGGTTTTTAAACCAGAATAGTTATTATGCCTCCATCCTAATGGGGATACAACTATGCCAGTACTGGCTACCAGTGGATCCACACTGGAGGTTAAGTCACTTTAAGTGCATTTGGCCTGGTCTACGCTACGGGGTAGGTTAATGTAACCTGCCTTGCCTCAAATTAGCTGTGGAAGTGTTCGTCACTTAAATTTGGCTTCTACTGATGTAAATGTTTCTACACCCATTTAATAACAGCACCTCCCTGAGCAGTGCAGAGTCACGATGTAATTATATCAACAAATTGCTTATGATGACTATCACTGGCTTTCTGGAGCTGTCCGACAATGCCCCACACTGACAATACAATGGATACAAGCATTCCTGGTGAGAACATGCATCACTGATGCAAGAATCCACGGCTGTGTCTAGACACGGCTGTGTCTAGACTGTGTCTACACTGGCTGCTTGAATTTCCGCAAGAACACTGACGATCTCATGTAAGATCATCAGTGTTCTTGCAGAAATACTATGCTGCTCCCGTTCGGGCAAAAGTCTTTTTCCAAAAGACTTTTGCGCAAAAGGGCCAGTGTAAACAGCACAGTAGTGTTTTCCGCAAAAAAGCCCTGATCGCGAAAATGGCTATTGGGGCTTTTTTGCGGAAAACCGCGTCTAGATTGGCCACGGATGCTTTTCCGCAAAAAGTGCTTTTGCGGAAAAGCATCCTGCCAATCTAGACGTGCTTTTCCGAAAATGCTCTTAATGGAAAACTTTTCCGTTAAAAGCATTTTCGGAAAATCATGCCAGTGTAGACGTAGCCCACGTGATTTAGTAACTGTAGTAGCTGTGTGGCAGCATCAATTAAATTGACATAATTTTGTAGTGTATCATGGTCTAAGGCTAAGTCTATCCTGACAACTGAACAACAAACTTTTTGTCATTCAGAGGTGTTAAATGACCCTCTTGTCCATGAAAGACAAGTTTTTCCAACAAGTGCCTGTGTGAACAGCACTTTGTCCTGCCAATAAAGTTAATGCTACTTGCTGGCTGTGGAAGCATTTTGTCAGCAAAAGAGCCAATAAACACTGGCTATACTGCCTGATTTTTAGTGACACAGCTGTAGTGACACAGCCATGTCGCTAAAAGCTGTGTACTGTAGTATTAAAGAGACAAGGTTGATGAGGTAGTATCTTTTATTGGATGAACCTCTGCTGGAGAAAGACAGGCTTTTGAGCTTACCTAGTTCTTCAGAAGAGAAGCTCTCCCTGGTTTACACACACACTGCATTCACAAGTGAATGCATGGGAAGTGGAGTGATCCAGCCCACTCCACTCATCTGGCTTCCACACATGTCCCTCCACTTCACACTGCGGATGAGTATGGGGAGCAGTTCCAACCCTTCCCTTCCCCTTCCCCTTCCCCAAGGGGGGAGCAGTATAGGCTGGTGGCAGGTTGCTCTACTTTCTACTGCTGCGGGGGGAGCAACCACTGCTGCTGGCATCATACCCCACCAGTGCTCCAGATTGCCTGGGCCCTGTAGGGTCTCCCAAGCGCAGGGCCTAGAGCGGTTGGACAAATCAGGATCTGCCTGCGGGCAGCTCGTCGCTTGCCTCCCAATGGCATTAAGGGGCATGTGACCCTTTGTCAGAGCTGTTCCCCACTCTGGCACTCCAAGTGCAGAAGGTGAGGGCCCTCGAGAGAGCTTAAAAACCTTGCCTCTACAGGCACTGGTTACCAAAACTTCCCAGAGTCACAGATTCCCTGGCTCTGAGAAGTAAACAAACTGCCACCATCAAGTTATTTTTTATCCCTAAAACTGGAGGTGAACACTTGAACCCACCCCCGGGGTACTCTAAGCTCCCAAAAGAGCTTGAAAAAAGAAAATAGAAAAATAAGCTGCAGTCTCTGGTAGCTGACCTCTCAGTCAGAGGCATGCAAATACACAGACAAACAGACCTTTCAGGACTCAAGAATCAAATTATCACCTTAAAAAAGTGATTTTTATTAGAAAACAAAAGATAGACTTGATAAGGCATACTTGATTGCTAGATGTTACAGAGCAAGTAAGGAAAACAAAACACAGAGAAAAGTTTCTGGGCACAATGCGAGATAGTAAATGTGGAGGGGAGGCATAGATTTACACAGAGCAGTTCAAACCAAACCACACAATAAAACTACCTTGATCACAACTAGACCAACTAAGGATATTAAAATGCGGTTAATTGACTAGTCAATGGAATGTCCATTGACTAGTTGATAGGCCTTCTTCATTCCTCCTTTGAAATGTACAAGAGTTCCAAGGAGGAATATGGAACACCACGTACAGCCCAGGGCTGGCGGGAAGTCCCGCTGACTCCGGGCCGCACACAGCTGTGCCTGCTTTGAAATGCACAACAGTCCCCAGCAGGGGCTCTTGTGCATTTCAAAGCCATGGAGTCCAGAGTCAGCAGGGGACTCAAAGTCTCCCGCTGACCCCAAGCTCCATGCTATGCTTCATGCTGCTAGGAGCCCGGGGTCAGCTATGGACTCCCTAGCTAACCCTGGGCTCCCCGTGGCACTTCCATGTGGAACCCAGAATCAGCTGGGGACTCCCCAGCTGATCCCAGGTTCCGGGGAAGTTCCGCGTGGAATCCGGGATCAACTGGGAGTCCCCAGCTGACCCCTGGGCTCCCCAGCTGCTCCTTTGAAAAGCACAGAAGTGGCATTTTAAAGGGGCAGCTGTCGCACAGCTGATCTGCAAATCATCTGTGCAGCGTCTGCGCCTTTGAAATGCCACCTTGGGGTTTCAAAGTAGTGGTGCCACTGTGCAGTGCTGCCACTTTGAAGTACCCCTTCTGTCCCCCCCTTTGCAATTGTCCCTTATTTTCTGTCTCTCCCCTCTCATCAGTGCTGGTAGGTCCTACTGCTTTTTGAATTCCTGCTAGCCAGCCAACCACAGGCCAGTGATAAGTGGTGGGGATCAAGTAGTTGATGATAGGGTGGATGTACAAGACTGGTGGTTGGGCAAAGCTGCAGCGTGCAAGGCTGGCCAGTCCCCACTGATGGTCCATCAGTGGAGTCTCTACTGTGTGCCAGCTCTGGGCCATCAGGCTCCCCTCTAACCCCCACTCATTTCCAGCCAGCACTGGCTGCTCACTGCAGTGGCCAATTACATGTCACCTCATTGACCCTTTATGTGCCTCCCCTCTCACTGTCCTCTGTGATGTGCACCATCATCTCCTCAGCCCTGATGCTCCTTCATATCCCCACCTAACTCCCATCGGGGTGCATCCCATCCCCAGCACTGTGTGGAGATCATTCAGCTCTGGTCAGATCATTCAGCCAAACAAGAGCCCAGCTGGAAGGCTCCTTCCTTCCCTTACTGCCTCTGGCTGGGCTGGCACCCAGGGAAACCTCAGGAAAACTATTTGGCCTGGGGATGCTGGGGGTCCTGAGGAACCAAGATCTGCATGAACCAAAGCCCCACAGAATTCTGGCCCAGGAAAGCATCTCTTCATTATCATCAACAACCATGGGCTC